AGGTAAGTAACGATTGTAAATCTAGTCCTGAGGGTATGAAACCCCAGATTTTGTATCATTTTATTATTTTGAGGTGACACACATGCTAGGTTATGGGCGTGTGGGCATGCACTGTTAGGGATTTGTGACTTGGTCTGTCCCGTAGCAACTGTAAAGTTGCATACTTTGTTGAAACCATTTGATACTTATATGTTTTAGAAAGAATTTCAGTAAATTGGGCCGAATGCCATGTTTGGGCCTTGCGCCAATGCTGTTAGGACCCTTAGGGGCTGTTTCTTATCATCCTCTCACTTTTTTCGATTGAAAATCTATACTCAGTCATGTTTATATTTGTTTACCGCATAACTCAGTTTTATGACTCTATTTTGATGCATATAAATATTTTGGGCCGAATGCCCTGTTTTTACTGGAATGCCCGAGGGCTTGATTTGTGAGGATGAGTGTGGATCGGGACTGCCCGCCTATAGCATACTTGTGACTGAGTGAGGCCGAGGGCCTAATTGGTGAGGATGAGTGTGGATCGGGGCTGCCCGCCTGCAGCATACTATATTATTATCGCACGTGAGTTGTTCGTGCAGATTATAGCGCTTGGGCTGAAGGAGCCCCTCCGGAGTCTGTACACACCCCAGTGAGCGCAGGTACCTACTGAGTGCGAGTAGGTAGAAATACGAACATATGTACAAGTACGAACATATGTACAAGTCCAAAAACATCATAAGAACTTGTCGGAATCATCAAATCCCGATTTCAAGTCCGTTTACCCAAAAGTCAAACCTTGGTCAATTATTCCAACTTAAAGCTTCTATTTAGGGACTAAATATTTCAAATCACTTGGGACAAAAATAACTCATACCCACATGTCATAAAAAATCAAATTGACCTAGAGGAAGTCTCAAATCATGGAACGAGCTTCTAGAACTCAAAATAACCGGTTGGGTCGTTACAATTGTAATGTATAGTACAAATATTATTTTGTTCATATAACATCATAAGACTAGGATTTAAGTTATATATACTAATATTATAATAATTATTTTTTATACAATTATAATTTAATTTATTATAGAATATTACTTATCATTTAATCTAGGTTATTAGTGCATGCTATAAATGAACATCTAAACAATGACAAAGATCCCGTTTGGATTAGCTGAAAACTTTTAAGCACAAGTGCTTAAAAGAAGTTTTTAAGTGCTGAAACTTATTTTATAAATAAGCAGTTATATATTTGGATAAAAGTGGTGAAGCTTAAAAAAAGCTATTGAAGTGTTTGGTAAACAAGTGATGGTAAACACTTTTTTCTGTTAATAAGATAGAAATATCCTTAAAGCTGTTAACATTATAAAGGAGCTGATTACTATAATATATTTAATTCACAATTAATGTAAATAAAAAATAATTTATATTTTAATTTAATTTCAATTTAATTGATTACTTAAGATAAATTTTTATAAATATAATTCTTGAACGCTCATTTTTCACAACTTTCAATCAAGTAAACTTTCATAAAAATAAAACGAGCACATTGTCCTCTATAAATAAGAAAAAGAAATAATACTTCTTGTTCTGAAGCGTCTATCATGGAATGATAGGCAGTGGTGTGGGGTGGGGGGATGCAGCTGACTATTCAACTCAATATTATCGACAACTCAAAGAAAGAGAAAAGGAATCTCTTTTGAATAAATTGAATACTTGCCCTGTATACATCTCGAGGCCAAGCCCTAAGAATCTGAAATATAAAGCATATCAAAGAAAAGATTATTTTATCACTTATTTTTGCAAATATTGAGGACTTAGTGTGGCACTTAATCTAGTTCAAGCACATTGCAATTTTCTATTTAGCAAAAGAAGCATACCGCAAATGCAAGTACATAAACAAAATTAAAATCCTTGAGCATTTAGCGAGCCATCTCTTGGGGGTAAAAGTACTAATCCTTGAGCAAAAAATAGGAAATTATTTTTGTACATCCCAGAAATAAATCATAGTATTATTCAATTTAAATAGGTAAAAATTTAATACCAAGACTTGTTTATGATGTTCATAATTCCAAAACTTTGAAAACACAACAAGAATTGAAATTCAACAGGAATATTAAACTTATGTGGACTGAAGAGGCTTTCAAAATTGGAGCTGAAGTTGAGAAAAGTTATGGAATAAGAGGAAGAAGAAAGCAGATGCTGCAACAAGAATGGAGAAAAGAAAGAGATCGTATATTTAGATTTTTCTACTGAGGGATAATTTCAGGATTAAGAAAAATTATAAGGGATACGAATGTAATATCCTTGGTCAAAGCAATATGGCTTTTAAGCCAATTTCGAAAAAGTTAGGTTTACTCAACTTATTTGTTTTGACTTTTTTAAAGCAGACTTTAATTTTTTTAAGCCATTTTTTTAACGCTTTCAAAAGTTAAAAAGTGCTTAAAAAGCTGGTCGAACGAGGCTCAAGGTCTTTTTTTTTAATTAAAATCTTTTGACAAAAGGGATGAAATGAACAATTTTAAAACGGTTTAGGGGGTATATTTGAACTTTTTTCTCTTTAAACAAACCAAACTAGGAAAAAGCGAAGTTACTAGCAAAATTTTCCCTTCCTTTGTGTGGAGGTTTGTTTGCAGTCGGCTATCCAGTCGAATATGGCGAATCAGCTCTACGGCTATAACCCTAGCAGCAATGCGGGAATAGCAGCAGGGAGCAACCTGTCTAGGTCGACGACGAGATCCATGGGCGACTATCTCTCTACGGATAATAATAAGACATTGCTTGGTTCCTCAAGTTATTTTGGTTCTTCCGGCTATTCCTTCTCTTCACCCACTATGCTATTTAATCAAAGTGATAGTTATAACCCCGCTGCGAGTAAGATTCCAGGTTTGGCGGCTTATCAGTCCTCGTGGACTGCACCTCCTGGAGTCGATGTTGCGCAACCTCCTGCTGCCGACTCTTATTTTTCTAGCTTGAAGCGCTCCTCCTCTGATGGTAATGGACAATTTTCTCTCTCTCCTTCTATTTATCCATTTTGTGCTTAATGAACTATAGCTGCATCTGACTAATATAAACCTTTAATTTTTTCTATTAACTTCTTGAATCGGCTGTTTTTATCTGCTATTATCTTGAGATTTAGAAGAATGGAACACTTACTTTTCGTTTTCTGTATTAGTTGAGAATATGTTTTAGACATGTTAGCACTTTTACTAGGAGTGGTTTAACCTTTCAGAGGTTTATACATTATACTTCTAATACTTTCTAGTTGTATTTGCATAATATTGATGTGTTTAAATGAAGTAATTTGGTTCAGTGACATATAGCTGACCCCAACTTGTTTAGGACTGGGGCGTAGTAGTTGCTGCACCTCCTATATTGGCAATTGCAAGGAGGGGGAGGTTGTTTTGAGGTAGGGCTTAGTGCGATAGTATGAAAGTATCGGTGGGCGGTTTACCGTTGTTGTGTGAGACTGTGAGGTTGGGGGTTTCGTTCAGCAATTAACTTAACAATTTACTCCAAACAAATAATGCTGCCTCTAGTACAGTGCATTTGAGTTGCTCTCTTGGTATAGCTTTAAGATATTAAGATATATATTTATATTATTTTAACAATTAACAACAGATAATTTTTGTATAAGTCCAGTAATGTTTTCTGCACTTTATGAGTTAGATATATTCCATGTAATGCGCAAGTTTTGATAAATCTTACTGGTGTTTAAAGCTTTTGCAAACACCACTAGTTTCTACGTCCTTTTTTATATCAAGATATCTCTTTTCCCATGTGTAATTTGTGCATACAAGCATTATTTAAGTTGTATTAGTTATTTGAATTCTTGTTGCACATATTTACTAATACTACCTTATGTAAATATAAAATGGTGTACTTGTATGTATAATAACAGACACATCTGTGTTTTTGTGTTTATGTATATATTACATACCATAGCACTGTATCATCGGACACTTTTGGGTGCACGTAATACAATTGGGCAAGCTGAAGCTTGGTTTTCAGCCAATCCTTTAGCCAAGCGCCCTAGATTCGAGAGTGCAAGCAATTTGTCTATATATCCCCAGAGGCCCGGAGAGAAGGACTGTGCCCATTATATGCAAACAAGAACCTGTAAATTTGGAGATAGCTGCAAGTTTGACCATCCTATTTGGGTTCCGGAGGGTGGAATCCCAGATTGGAAAGAGGTGATCATTTATTGCTATTTATTCTTAATAGAAAAAACACAATAGGTTATCAAATAAGTCATTCTTATTTCACTTAATGTATTATTTTTCTTTCCCGTGTCTATCTATATTAAGTCTTTACTTATGAAAATGTTGGGATAAATTTCCATGTCATTTAAGCAATAGCTTTTATGAATTGTGATGTATTTTTAATCTGGATTTCACTTTATTTTAATATTACACTACAATTATATCTAGTTAGTTCATCTTGCATATATATTTGTTTTACCCCGCATACTATATCTAGAAAATGCAATGTTGATGTATGTGGAACATTGACGTCTTGATAAGGTCTTTAATCTCTATAATGATGACCTACTTCATAAAAAAATCTCTAGACTGATGAGCTTGTATCTTGTACAAGTTTCTTTAGCCCTCCATTAGAAGTTATTAAGAGAAAAAATGTAATCCACTATTCCACTTGTTCTGGGAATTTTTTTGAGTGGTATCTATACCCAGGTTTGGATCCTAGCTGCAATACTTAGTTTGAGCCCATGTGTTTCCAACATGATGGGCAGGATTACCTTTGCAATCTGTGCTTATGAGCCGAACAGGTTGTCCGGTGAATTAGTCTAGTTGTGTGCTAGCGGACTGTTGCTGTCAAATGATCTCATGTGGACAGTACTCTTTATTTTACAACAGCATACTCACAGTTGCTCCTTACTAGTCCAAATAACAGTTAACCTTATCTTTCATTTGCTCGTCACTATGATCAATCCTCTTTTAATACCCATTTTCTTGTTTTCTTGTAAACAAACCCACATATGATTTCTATTTGTGTAATTACTTTTATTATTCGCTTCCCAAGATTGTTCAAATCTCTCACGTTTCAGGCAATATATTCATATGCATAATAGCTGGTTACTATTGCCTACTCTTCCTTTTTCTCAACTGTCCTCTCCCCCCAAATTCATCCTTCTACTTTCATGAAATATATCGCACACTCAACCCTGAACCTTGACTGCCTTTCTTCAAGAATCGCTAATTGTAGTGCATGGTGTACTCTATTCCTTTGTCTTCTTTTGCCTCCATTTTCTCTCAGCTATTGATAGGAGGGACGTATCCCCCCTTTGAGCCACTGGTATAATATTCCCGGTAACTTCCCAAAGGCACAAGGTTTCCCTGTAAACCCATACAGATTAGGCTCTTCCTAGCATTCTGAAGAGTGTGAGGGAGTCACTTTGACAACTTTCAAGGGAAAGCAAGACACCTAAGTCACTTTGACAGCTTCAACTGATGTGTCTTACTTTCCTTTTAGTCTATTTCAAACAATATACCTCCTTTCTATGTTAATTCCAACATTCCTATTTTATCCGTAATGACATTCCATTATAGAAATGACATGACATATTGAAGGCCACAAGATTCAAATTGTATTTTGGGTATGTTAAGTGTGTTTGGTATGAAGGAAAATATTTTTCAATTTTTCCATGTTTGGTTGGCTTAAATGATTTGGAAAACATTTTTAATTTGAACTCATTTATTTCCCTACCAAGAGGAGGAAAAATATTTTTCAAAACACTCTTTCAACGTTCCTACTCCCACCCCACCCCCTAATCCACATCCTCGCCACCCCGACCCTATATCTCGACCTA